TGTAGTGATCTTCCTGTCTCAGCCTCCCCAACGCAGGGCTTACAGGCTTTTGCCACCATGCCCAGTAGTTCCAGGGCCAGCACTGCATGTAGTACCAGGGATCGAACCCCCCAGCCCTTGCACTTGCCAGGCAGGTGCTTAGACTGCAGAGCTATCTCTCCAGTCCTCCGAAATTGTTTTAAACAATTTACAGGAAAATCAACAAAAAACAGCTGTCCCAAAATATGAGATGACTTTGAAAAAGCAATGTGCCATAAGAATAAAAAATGTACGAAACTCCAGTTCTACGACGATAGTTTTGTAACCTATCAAGAATCCCATCTGTCACAGCTAAAACTTTCTGAAGGAATTTCTCCAGGAACCAATCAGATTCCTGATCAAAATGCTGGTGGCCTTCACAGGCTCACGTGGGTCCCAGTGATCTGCACACACCGTACTGGGCCCAAAGGATGCAAGTGTTATCTAAGAGCAGAAGCTTTAGATTTTTCAGGAGTAGCAGCAGCGCCAACAGGCTGTTCACTCCCTGTGCATTACTGAGGGCTGCAGGACTGCAGAATACAGCTGCGCTCCTCTCACACCTCTCGCTAGGAATGCAGGTCCCTCGGAGGCAAACATGAGTCATTTTCTTTCACTGTCACCCTCAGCCCAATCAGGGCACTGGGCCCACGAGGGAATCGCCCGGAGGCCCCCGGTCGAGCACTGGGCTCCCGGCTGGCCTTCCGCACCACAGCATCTGCGCCCGGGGCTATGCCCGGGGCCGCGAGACACTGGCGTTTGACCGCAAGCGCTGGGAGATCAGCTCCTTAGGAGAGGGAGTGTCGAAATCTCCCAGCCCTAGAAAGCCCAGGATCCCCAAACAAGGGCACCGCCTCGGATCCCGATCTCGGGTGGGACCCGCTGTGCTACGTGGACGGCCCAGGGCCGCGCCGCTGACCCCTCTTCCGGGCGGGCCCAGACGTGAGTCAGAGTGAAGCAGGCGGGAAGAAGGGACGGCCAGGGTCTGAGGAACAGAAGGGTCCGCGGAGCCAGGGTGAAACCTGGAGCGAGGTGGACTCCAAGGGGCCCCAGTCGGGGATCAGACCCGGGTGAGACACCCGGCGCGTAAGCCAGCCGCCAGCCGCTGGGGGCGGTCAGAGCAGGCCCGCCAGCCAGCCGCGCCGAAATCTCCCGCGCTCAGGGGCAGGCCCCTCCTCCCCAGCCCGCCTGCCCGCCCC